CATTTATCTCTCTGCCCTTCAGTTAATCCCACTTGTGTTGATCGGCCAGGCTGGCACAATAAACTATTTCAACTGCTTTATATTTAACTGTTTATTTCTTGTGTTATATAGCTATCGATATCTCTATATATAGATATCTATATATAGAGAGATATAATTATTAGCAATCTGGTTTTGTCTCTAGAGAACCCTGTCTAACACAGGCTGGCAGGCTGGCCTCGGCTGAGCCCTGCTCCCTCTGCAGTGCCTCAGACCTTGCGGAGGGAGTGTCCCAAGAGATGGGTAGTGGAAGCTGACAGCTCTGACGGCCCAGACACCAAGCCTTCCCCTCCGTCACAGTGCTCTGATGAAGGCAGGGCCTGTTCTGGTTTAAGGCCTGTCAGCCTCTGTCCATGTCTGACCTGCCAGGCGCCTCATTGTCTTCATCTGAAGATGAGCTCAGCTGATACGTGGGGGCCACATCACCCAGCCAATGCCGACGCGTAGCCACCCTGTAGGGTAGAACTGCCCCTGTGAGTTTCCCAGACTGACTGTCCACGGGAGAGAAAGCCCATCTTTCTCCTGTGGAGCTGCTGGTGGTTTCTAACTGCGGACCTTGCAGATCGCACGCAGGTCAATGCATGACCGCCACACCACAGGGCTCTAGCACATGGGGGCATCTTACACACACCCGCCACGGTCATCGCTGCTCGGGACACGATCATGTTAGTACTCATGGGCGTTACCACAGGATGCATAAGAAATGGCAAATGCAAGGCCTTTTCCCAGTTTGTTTGTTTTCCTCTTACTGGCGAGGCCAGCATGGACACAATGAGAGAACTGTACCAATTAAGACAGGCAGAAGCGCCGTGATGTTTATAGTAAATTGTAGGCGAGTTCATCATTTATGTCATCCGGACACTGAAGGCTTCTGTTTCTGTATCACTTGTTTAGAGCAAGCAAAGGCCCCGTGCAGATTCACAATATCTGCTCTCTTTTTTTAACATCCACTTGTGTGGAGACAAGGTTTGTGTTTTGTGTTTTTAGGCCTTTTTCCCCCCTACGGGAGGTAGCCCTCCCAGTGCCCAGAAGGCTCCTGCCTCACAAACAGCAGACCTGCTGGCTCTCTGCCCCGGGCACCTGGAGACTGCTGCCCTGGTGATATTCGGGCCTCTGCTTGGCTGGCACCTTGTCAAGACGGCTGCCCGTGATACCCGCACTGTTACCTGTCTGTGTTCCGTGCCCTCGAGGCGATCCCGACTCAGAGCGACCCTGTAGGGCAGGGTGGAGCTGCCACACTGGGCTTCCCAGGCTGGAATGTGTACAGGAGCCAGCTGCCACGTCTTTCTCCCGAGGAGGCACGTCCGGGACCCACTAACCTTCCTGCCAGCAGTCCGGCACTTCCTTACCTACGGCACCGCCAGGGCCCAGCCTGGGGAAGCAGTGAGCCGCAGAGCCCTGGGGATGGACAGTGGGTGTGCCAGGCGTCCCGTCACGTACTCATACGTCGCTGTCGTTTGCTCTTTGCTGCAGGTCTCCTGAGGTTCCAGCATGGACCCCGTGGCCGCTCACAGCTGCCACCTGCTCCAGCAGCTGCAGGAGCAGCGGGTGCAGGGCCTGCTCTGCGACTGCATGCTGGTGGTCCGAGGGGTCTGCTTCAAAGCACACAAGAACGTGCTCGCGGCCTTCAGCCAGTACTTCAGGTACGTTGTGCTGGCTGGGCCTGGCACAGTGGCTAGGCACGTCCCGCTAACCAGAAGGTCAGCGGTTCAAATCCACCAGCCGGCAGCGGCCTGGAAACCCTGCAGTGCAGTTGTACTCTGTTTGCAGGGACCACGAGAGTCAAGCCGACTCCCTTGCTTGGGTTTGGGTTTGGGATTCTGCTCAGAGTAACCAGGGATGTTCTTCTAGAATGGAAGGATCTGGACTCAATTTTGGTTTCTCCATTACTAATTGACATAATATATCTGCAATACTATGGAGCCCTGGTGGTGGCGTGGTTACGTCTTGGGCTGTGCTCCACATGGTCGGCAGTTCAAAACTACCATCAGCTCCCCCAAGAGAAAGTCTGGACTCCTTACTCCTGTTAACAGTGACATTCTCAGAACCCACAGGGGCTGTGAGTCAGCACGGACCCGATGGCAGTGAGAAGTGCAGAACCTCCCCGCCATGGTGTGTAAGTGCGTGCGTGTGTGTGTGTGTGTGTGTGTGCGTGCGTGTGTGTGTGTGTGTGTAAATGAGGTGCTATGAATAGGGCAGCCCACTGGTGTGGGCAGCATTCCTGCCCCCACAAAAAGTCTCCCTGAGCCTAGGGCCCCAGGGAGCAGGTGCCCTCCATGACACATGGGGACCACAACCGCCAGCATCCCGGGTGTCTCACTCATGCCATCAGGTCGAGGGGCACTGCGCGTGACCTGTACCACGGAGGAGAACCGCCTCTGTGGGCTTCCAAGACTACCTCTACGGGAGCAGAAAGCCCGTCTTCCTCTCGAACAGCAGTTGGTTTCGAACTGCCCACCTCGCAGTTAGCAGCCCAACGCATGACCACTGTGGCACCAGGGCTCCTGCCCACCCCACCCCACCCCCATCCAGGTCAGTACACTTTCTAAATGTCTTCCACGGCCAGTGTGAGACAATTGACCGTACTTGGCCTGTCCCTGTGCCCACAATACAGATCCCCTGCTGCCCTCCCCTCGCCAGCCCTGAACCAGGTCCCACCTCTGGTGCGTAGACCATCGGCCTGCCGGGAACCCTGGCAGCCGGCTCCGTTCCTGCGGAAGCAGTCTCCACCCAGGGCTGCTCTGTCAGACTGCTGCGGCTGCCACGTCGCAGGCACGTCAGTGGGGAAGTAGCTACATGTATCTGCTAGCCAACCAAACGCGAACCACTGAAAGGCTTATGTCCTTTCGTTGTCTCCACCCTCGGCATCTCCTTAAGAACATCTCTGAGCACAGGCCATGTTGTCTGTGCTGACAGATCACATTAGGGGTTGTCGGTGAGCCACCCTGATCTCTGGTCTCCGCCATATTACCGCGGGTGGCTGGTTTTCTTGATATGTGGTGTGATGAGTGTGTTGCGCAGTTGGAAGAGTCCAGCGTCACTGCTCTCAAACGCTACCTCGGCTGGGTGGCTGATTGGTTTGAAAAGAAGAACATTAGCATGACTCTTAACATCTTGGTGTCGTCTGTCCATAGGAGAAGCATGATTTTGAAAATGAGCGCACGCATGTGTGTGTGTGAGGGGGGGGCACCTCTTCACGCCATGAACATGTGGGTCGGTCACTGCGCCAGGGGGCCCGGTGAGTGACCGAGCGCCCCTCCTGTTGCCAGGAGCCTCTTTCAGAACGCCTCGGGCCAGAGGAGCGACGTCTTCCACCTGGATCTCAAGAACGTCAGCGGCATCGGGCAGATCCTGGACTTCATGTACACCTCTCGGCTGGACCTCAGCCGGGACAACGTGCACGTCATGGTGGACGTCGCCCGGTGCTTGCAGGTGCAGAACGTTCTGAGTCTGTGCCAGATGTTTTTAAAGTCGGCCTCGCCTGTGGCCGAGGAGCCGGCCCCCGGCCTGCCCTGCAGGGGTGCGACCTCCCTGCCGAGTGCGCCGACTCCAGAAGCTCCCTGTGTTCCCAGCGAGAGCTTCCCCCCTCACCTGCTGCAGGAGGGCCCGCGTGATGTGCAGCCCCGCAAGTCCCCCAACACGCCCCATAATGCTGAGGGGGGTGCCCCAAAACAGGCCCTGGGCTCCCTGGATGGAAGCAGCAGCGGCGAGCTGCCGCCCAAGCAGCCGAGCTACTGCTACAAACTCAGAACCTTGTACAGTAAGCAGCCCTGCAGGCAGGCCTCGGGCCCCGACCCCGCATGCCCAGGGGAGCCTCCGCTCCCACTCCCTGCGGCCCCAGACCACCCGCCTCGGGCCCCCAGCCAGGCCAAGTGCAGCCTGGACCCTCCCAAGCACCCGCCCTCCCACTTCGTGGCCCGGCCTCCAAGCCCTGCGGCCCTGGGCTCAGAGCCCCCCAAACCCATGCGGCTCAAGAAGGCCGTGCACCTGAAAGCACTAAGCATCCTCAAGTCCCAGCAACCGGCGGAGCCGCCCGCCTCCGAGCCCGTGGCCCAGAGGACGGGCTCTGCTCACGGAGGCCCGCGGTCACGCGCGGGCAGCCCTGGTCCCCTGGACAACGAGCACGAGGAGCTGGCCAGCCCGGAGAACTCGGGCTGGAGAGCGGGCGGCCCCGCCGACCTGCAAGACCCGTCGCAGGCCCTGCAGCCGCAGAGACAATACGCCTGCGAGTTGTGCAGGAAACCCTTTAAACACCCAAGCAACCTGGAGCTTCACAAGCGCTCTCACACAGGTACAGCAATCCGTTCTCCGGGGCAGACGGGCCGCAGGCCTGCTGTGTTTCTGCAGGCTTCTCGTGTCACGCCCGTGGTGCATAAACCGAGCCCGGACGCTGACCTGCGTTCTGTTTGCGTCTCCTGAGGAGGAGCAGCGCCAAGGCCTCTGACCGACCCCTAGAGCCAGCTGCTAAGGGGACGGCGGGCTTTCCCTTGCGAGGTCCGCCTCCTTCCGAAGGGCTGGGAGAGCAGAGAGCCATGTGCAGCTTCAGCTGTGTCCTTAGCGTTCGCTTCTGCTTACGTCCCTAGCACGTTCCCGTGGTCAGCAGCCACGGGGGAGAATCTCTTTGAAAAGAGGAGGCATGGGATTAGGTAGTAAAACTTTGAAAACTTAGTGCTCCAAATTTCCAGAGTTTGCATTTGAGAACAATGAGTAATAAAAATAGCCAGACCTGGCTCCCGAGATGCCGGGATGGGAGGCTCAAACCACCGTCCTTTGGCCTGTGGAGAGATGAACCATGTACCCCAATGGGGGATTCCTTTGTAAAGCCACACGTTGATTGATTCAGACCAAAGTCCTAACTTTGTTTGAGTACTAATTTAGTATAGCACGTTTTTTTAATTGTTTTATTAGGGGCTCATACAACTCTTATCACAGTCCATACTTGTATCAGTTGTGTAAAGCACATTTGTACATTCATTGCCCTCATCATTCTCAAAACATCTGCTCTCCACCCAAGCCCCTGGCATCAGCTCCTCATTTTATCCCCTCCCTCCCCAACCCCCCTTCCCTCATGAACCCTTGATAATTTACAAATTATTGTTTTGTCATATCTTACCCTGTCCGACG